TTTTGCCAGAATGTCTTGAAAGAGTATACTAGAATAGTGCTAAGAAATTTCTGGAGTATCTCGGTGGCTGCTGTTACCAGCATAGACATCTCAAACTACTATTGGGTGTTTCTCACTGGAGTTCAGTTTTGAATATGGAGTGTGCCTTTGAGATGAATCTTGTGACAATTCCCACCCACTTTTATATATATATATATATATATATATATATATGATCACAGAACTGACTCATCACATGAACTGTGTTCCTTTGTGAGAGAATTAAACCAGAAAATGTGCTCCCTCAGAACAAGAAAGATGTGGATCTGTTACAGCAGGTCCAAAGGAGGGCCAAAAGGATGATCAGAGGGCTGAAGCACCTTTATTATGAAGAAAACCTGAGCGATGTTCAACTTAAAAAAGAGAAGACTCTGGGGAGACCTCATTGCAGCTTTTCAATACTTAAAGGTGGCTTATAGAAAAGACGGAGAGTGACTTTTTACTTGGACAGATAATTATAAGACAAGGGGGAATGGTTTTAAACTAAAAGAGGGGAGGTTAAGATGAGATATTTGGAGGAAATTCTTCACTCAGGGGGCGGTGAGGCACTGGAACAGTTTGCCCAGAGAAGCTGTGGCTGCCCCATCTGTGGAAGTGTTCAAAGCCAGGTTGGATGGCGCTTTGGGCAACCTGGTCTAGTGGGATGTGTCCCTGCAGGGGAGTTGGAACTAGACGATCTTTAAGGTCCCTTCCAATCCAAGCTGCTCTACAAATCTATGAGTCTATCATTCTGTAGAGCTGAGCCTTATGATAATGCATGTGTATGCATTACATACCATATAGATCATGGTTGTTCAGTCATGCTCATCCACAAAGTTTTACTCAGTAATGCATCACTCAGCATTATTTTACTGGAGGAAATGTGTTGAGTAGGAAGGTTATTACAATCATCAAAAAAAACAGCTTCTAAAACTGAACCAGACACTTGCATGCAAAGATCTAGCTTGCCTATAAAGACACACTTGATTATTTCAATTTAAGCCTGACATGTGTTCAGTTGTTGGCTATCATGCCCATCACATGTTGGGCATGTATATCTCAATATTTTACCTAGCAAAAGTTTTGCTTCTCATGCAGTAAAACTAGCATCATATATACAGGATCATATATACGTACTACATACGTACTACATATGTACTACATACGTACTACATCATATATACGTACTACAACATCATATATACATACACTAGCATTATTTATATGTGTATTGGTTATATTGCTCTGATGGACACGTTGGTCTTTCTGTGGTCTACCTGTTCTCCCTCTTTGGGCCCTACTCTTTCTATGGATGAAAAAAGACAATACAGATGTCTTTATGGGACTGATGTAGACTAAATGGTTTGATCTGTTCAGTGTGTCTCTTATTCTGTCACTCAGCTGCAAGCAGTTAACTGTATATTAGACAAACACTTCTCCAGCTGTGTGTCAGCTCCTTCCTGCCAGTTCTCTGTTAAATCACAGATGAGGGAGTAAAGTGATGTGGCTGCTGTGAATCTGTGCATCTTATCTACTGTATTAAATGAGAGTCTTGGCTTTTATTTTGCTTCTGGCCTTTGCCTTCTAGCCTGCATGGAGAAATGAAGTGACACTGTAATCTGTAAGTACTGAAACATGGAAAAATGCTAATGTTTTTGTCAAGTGAGATAAAAAGTACATCTAGGTTAGATTTAGACTGTGAGAAATAGGTATCTACAGTTAGTGTTCCAGTACTTCCTCCTGTATAAAATTAGTCTAGGAATGAATGTATCTAAGTGTGTGTACAGAATCATAGAGTCATAGAATGATTTAGGTTGGAAGGGACCTGTAAGGATCATCTAGTACCAATCCCCCTGCCATGGGCAGGGACACTTATCTCCAGACCAGGTTGCTCAAAGCCCCTAGTTAGTTTAAAGCCATTACTCCTTGTCCTATCACTACACCCTGATAAAGAGTCCCTATCCTGCTTTCTTGTAGACTCCCTTTAGGTACTGGAAGGCTGGTGTAAGGTCCCCACAGAGCCTTCTCTTCTCCAGGCTAAAGTCCCCAGGTCTCCAATCCCTTACCCACCAAGTGATCCACCTATCAAATCCATGTCCTTCCAATTTAGAGGCAAAGTTGTCGTGTGGAAAAGTGTCAAATGCTTTGCACAAATCCAGGTAGATAATGATCAGTTGCTCTTCCCCTATCTATCGGTGCTGTAACCTCATTGTAGAAGGCCACCAGATTTGTCAGACCCGATCTGCCCTTAGTGAAGCCATGTTGAATGTCGCCAATAACCTCTTTGTTTTTCATGTACCTTAGCAGAGTTTCCAGGATGATCTGCTCCATTATCTTGCTGGGAACTGAGGTGAGACTGACTGGCCTATAGCTCCCCGGGTGTTCCTGTTTTCCCTTTTTAAAAATGAGGGTTATACTTCCCTTCTTCCAGTCAGTGGGAACTTCACTATACTGCCATAACTTCTCAAATATTACGTAATGTGGCTTAGCAATTTTGTCTGCCACTTTCCTCTGGACATGTGGATGCATCTCATCGAGTCCCATGGACTTATGCACCTTCAGGTTCCTTAGATGGTCTTGAACCTGTTCTCCTGCAGTGGGTTCATGCTCACAGTCCTTGCTTTTGCCTTCTGTGACTTGGGCTATGTGGATTAGAACACTAATCAGTGAAGACTGAGGCAAAAAAGTCATTGCATACCTCAACCTTTTCCATATCCCTGGTAAGCAGGTCTTCCATTTCCTTCTAGAGTGGGCCCACAATTCCTTTATTCTTCCCTTTATCAATGATGTAGCTACAGAAGCCTTTCTTGTTGACCTTGATGTCCATGGCCATATTTAATTCTAAAAGGGCTTTGGCTTTCCTTACCTAGTCCCTGGGTGCTTGGACAATGTCTCTGTATCCCTCCCAGGTTATCTGTCCTTGCTTTCACCCTCTGTAGGCCTCCTTTTTCTGCTTGAGTTTGGCCAGGATTTCTTTTGTCATCCAAGCAGCCTCATAGCCTTTTTTTCCTGACTTTGGTGGGATACATTGCTTTTGAGCTTGGAGGAGGTTATCCTTGAATATTAACTAGCTCTCTTCTTTAAATTTTCTTTCAAGAAAATTTATAAGTAACAGAGTTAACCTCATACGTCTTAGGAATGGCTGACTTGCAAAGTGCGGCTGAGTGTCATCCTTCCTCTCCACAACTCAGAAACTTTTCTGCTAAAATAAAATTTAGTTTGAGAGAAGAGTCAGGGTGTATTTTTACTTTAAAGACTATAACAAACATCACCTTTAATCTTTGCGTAATGTACTGGTGAACCTGTATAGAGTTTATGTGACAAGGTTTGGGTAGAAGGGGCTGCAGGGGTGGCCTCAGTGAGAACAATCCAGCAGCTGCCCCATAAGGGCCAGCTCCAGCCTGCTACAAGGGGACCCGCCACTGACCAGAGCTGAGCCAGTGAGTTTGCTGTGAGTTGTTTGTGCCTCTGTGAGAGCAGATTTAAGAACGGGAAAAAAAAACCAACTGCTGTGCAACAGCAGCTGGGAGAGCGAGGAGTGAGAACAAGCCCTGCAGGCCCCCCAAGGCCAGTGCAGAAGGAGGGCAGGAGGTGCTCCAGACACAGAGCAGCAGTTCCCCTGAGGCCTGTGGAGAGGCCCCTGGTGGAGTAGACTGTCCCTCTGCAGTCCATGGGTCCCACATGGAGCAGATCTCCATGCTGCAGCCCATAGAGGAGCCCACATGGAGCAGGTGGATGTGGCCTGGAGGAGGTCCATGGAGACCCATCCCCTTCCCCCCTCCCATGTTGTCTGTATGTTGTTTTCCTCAAGGATATAGATACAGTCTCAAGGACAGCAGGTCCAGAAGATAAACAATGAAGAAAGTAGTGCCCTTCACTATACAGTAAAAAGCAACAACTCTTATGTTGCTACAAAAAAACACAATTCTTTAAGACTGAAAACATAAATGTTAGATATTTAATGATAAACACTGTGTATATTGCTGCTAAGATCCTGACTAAACCTGCAGATATAAAAATTAGAAGGCATGTCTAGTGTTTGTTTTAATAAATAATTAATTTCTTGAGAAATTCTGCCTTATTTTAGTATCAGAAACTGACATTTTGTCTAAGAAGGACTTTTAGATGCGTAATTAGGGAAATTAAAAATGCAGTGTACCAGCTATTAATGTCTAACACAGACATCTCCGATCCTTGGGAAAATGACGTATTTTGGATGACTTATATTTCTCAATCACTACCAGGAATGACATAGTGACCAAGAAAGTCTAAATAACCTCTTGGTATTTAGATGAAGGCAAAACATTACAGTTTGTATGAAGATGGTCTTCTCAAAACTGTAACAGTTTTGTTGATACTGTTTTAACCTGTGGCATAATTGGCAAATCAGTGCTGTTAAGCTAACAAAGCTGTTTCCCTCTCCAAATTCACATTGTTTTAGAACCACAGCCTTTTTATGATGCATGGTTGGTCTTTCTCCTTTTTCTCCTTTTAGAATATTCCTGAAATTCTTCAAATATTGAGGGTCAGAAAGGGGCCATTGTTTCTTTTACTATAGCTGTGTCTCTGAATGTCTATTATTAATTCCTTCTGTAAACAAACTGGCACTCCCCAGCCTTCTGCTCAGATTGGTTTTGTAAGTTGTGAGGAGGCTCTGGAGAACTTTTGATATTTTGTAAGTTAACCAAAGCAATACCTTGGACATTGTTTCTAATATACCTACAAAGTTGAGCAAGTGAAAGAGCAGAAGGATAATTAGGATCTGAAGAACTCTACTATGCCAGTGTTATTCCAGACAGCAATGTCTAATGAATGAGAACACAAAGGCATGCAGCAGCTGTCAGTTGAATACATGCCACAGTGCAGAGAAGCTCTATAAATGCTTCTGAAAGATTTATAGACTTCTATTTCTATCCTGGTATTCTGTGAGTGTATTTTATTTGGAGGGTAATACAGGGGGAGATGGGATAAGGGTGGAAGAAAATGAGATCCCAAATTAGATCACAGATTAAGATAAGGGATAGAACTGATCATGAATTACTGTAGGCTCATAATGGAGCTACATTATATTTTACAGCCCTGAAAAGCACTTAATACATGCAGTGCCAGGGTGCTTTTGGCTAAAAAAAAATAATAAAATTAGATAGAATTCCAACTTGCCTTAGCTAAGTACACATTCAATAATTATTGCATATTTGGAAGCGTTGCTCAGGGCTTTGTTACACTTTTGAAGCTGCTGTGTTGTTGTTCTGGAAGCTTGTATAGTGGGATCTACAAACGTTGCAGTATGTGCTCTCAAACACCAGAACAGGTGTCTGTGCATGAAGCTGTGTCTCCAGGATGATTAAGGTAGTGAATATAATTGGAGCATATGGCTCTGAAATATGTATTTGAGTATTTGAATTTTGTTTTTTCTCATTTCTGTCTGGCATTCCCTGTCAGGTTTCCATGCTTAACTTTATCAGTCTTCATTTCCCTACTAAGGCTTGCTGGGAGGAATTCAGATTTAGGAATCATCTTCCAAAACTTGCTAAATCAGAGCTCATATAAGCTACTAAGCTGTGTAGCTGTGTACATTTGTACTTTTTTTTTTTTTTTTTTTTTTTTTTTTACACTGAAATAATAGCTTAGAAAAGGTTACAAGTATTTATGGTATTTATGTTTATCCAGTTTATCACTCTAAACTAGGGCAGGATTTGCACTCCATATTAAACCTGTACATATTTTATCTAGTCTACTCTGGAGTATTACTAGTAAAGGTTCCCCAGTTGCCCCTCTTGGCAAATTTTGCCATTGTGTAATTGTCCTTGTTTTTGGCATTTTTATTCTTTACATCTAACCTAAATTAATTTTCCTTCTTCAAGTTTCATCCAATTACTCATTATTATATAACTCTTAATTACTTTAAGTAATTCCTCCCCATCTTTTGTATTTGTTCTGATGCATTTAAACATAGTTATTGTAACCGTTCCTTGTCATTTTTCTCTCAGCTGTGCATGTTAAATCCTTTTCCTGTCCCTTTAGTGATCATGTCTACTAAACTACTTATTGTTTTTTGCTACCATTCTTTCCATTTCCTCTAATTTAATAATTTTTCTTATAGTTAGGTAAACCACTGTATACAGATAAAATAAAACCTGTTAATTAATGGAAAAATGAATATGGAACCTAATTTTCTGCATCCATTTTAAGAAAGTGTTTTGAAGGTTTGTCAGGGTATTGCTTACCTAATTAGTTGGTTTTATGAATACTGAATTACCATGTTCTGTGGCAGCATAATTAACTTATGCTAATGAATGTAATAAGTAGTCTGAATAATCAACCTTCTTAAAAGTAAATATATCATTTGATATATATATATATTTTGCTGGTGTCATCACAGAATCATTTAGAAACTAATTTAATCTCATGGATGTTCCTGGAATTGTAATTATTCTATGTTACACAAGTAGTCATGGAAAGAACAGAAACTTCTGAATTGAGAAGGCTGTAGATGACATTTAACAGGAAGTGAGCAAATTCACAGGTGACAAAAATCAGCTGATGGCACTAGATGTAACTACACCTACGGCACTGAGGAAGCAGCACTCATGTTGAGATTGTCTTTCATGCAGCTTCAACTTGAGAAAGAGTCATATGTCAGAGAAGTCTTGATTCAAAAAATAAATGTTATATAAATGTAAAGCCTTGATAATCTTATTATATATAACCTTATTTTATTCTCAGGCAGGGAATTTCATAAATTAGGTTTTTGTTTCAAAACTGATAGTTGTTCTTTAGAACTACACCAGAACTCTAGCCAGCAGGATTTTTGATCTTTAGCAGTCTAGAAGAGACCTACAGCAGTGAAGAAAGGCTCCAGAAACCAGGTGATTCTTAAGTGTTTCTTGAGCAGTTTGATATATTCCAGTGTGTACTTCAGAATGTTTGATCAGAAAAGCGACAACAATTTAGGTGCTCTTTTGTAGTAGTGCTGGATGTTAACATCAGGACATTCTCTTCACTGAAGAGTTTATAAATTAAGACATGAAACAATGCTCAGAAGGAAGACATTTGGTGTTGAGCTCTTCTCTTCACAGTGAAGAACGTGTAAGGAACTTTTTAAACTTTTTTTTTTTTTTTTGAATTCCAAGAACAAGAATGATAGAAAGAATGAATCACAACTTTACACCAAACTGTTGGTTTTTTTTTTTTTTTTTTTTTTTTTTGGTACTGACAAATTAGTTGGCTACAGAATACTTCACTGCATAACTTTGATCAGAAGGATTGTGTTTTGTATTGTAAAGAAACAAAAACAGTGAGAAATATAATAAAGCTAGACTGAGTTAAATAAACTTGCATTTTGATAGAAATAAAATGTTTTGATAAAAATATTTTTAATGGAATTGTGTTTTGGTGTGTGTTTATGTTTGAGAGAGAGAGAAAGAGAGGAAGAGAAAAATAATGCAGATGGAAACTCTGTCATTGTCTTTCCTTCAGAGGACCACACCTTAAATAACATTATTTAAAGCCACCTCTTACAGAGCAGTGCAATTACATGATCAGTCTTGCAGCTCAAAGAGTTTGTATGACCTCATTAGAAAATAAATTGTAGCTTTAATATCAGGACCACTTAATACTGCATTAGTTACACTGAGCAGCCCTTGGAAGGTGCCAACAGTATGTGACAATGTGTGATTCTTTAATTGAAATCCAGACTATCTGTTTGCAAGTTTTGTGCATGGCATTACAGCGCACTAACCATTTCACTCCTGCTGAAGCAATTCATTCAGGAGACATAGGCCTGTTTGGCTGCTCACCGGAGCTGGCCTGACCTGAAGCATATGTTGTGCGGATGAGGGAAACAGGATGAGAATGCATGGGTGGGAGACCAGACTGAATTTTTCTCAGATTCAGGTCCTTCAGGAAAGCAGAGAGACCATTTCGTCTAATTTAATGGCAGTGTATCATGCTGGCAGCTTGCAGTCATTTCAGAAAACACAGTTGTGAGAAATGAAAAATCAACAAATATTATTGTCCATTTGAGAGCAACTATAATTTTGACAGAGCTCAGCAAATGGATTGCTGTTATTTGGAATCTGTGGAGAGGTGCTTGCAGTGCAGAGCTGAGCTATACAGACTGCTATTCCACATTAACTGCTGTGTTTCACACCTGACCAGATCCAGATTTACTTTCAAGAACAGGTCATTCTATCTAGAATCATCAGTCTGATTCTTCTTGCATGCATGCCATTAAAAAACTAGTTTTCAACATGCCCATTGGAAAACATCCTGACATGACTCAGAAATTTAGATCACAATAATGACCCAAGAACCTTCCATTTGTCTGATAATCAATGCAAGTGTTCCCACTTTTTTTTTTTTTTTTTTTTTTTTAAGGAGAAAAACTTAAAAAGTGCAACAAGAATTCTAATATTCAGTCAATAGCATAACAGGAATTTTAATCCACATTGAAGTCAGGTTTCTCTAGGGCTGCTGAAATGGAAGGTATGGTTAGAACAAAATCCCTATGTTGTCATGCTGTTTTAAATCACTCCTACATGCAAGTCTGAGGTAGCATACATCATGGAAGAGACTGAAGGAAAAATCCATGGTGGTGAGGATGTGAACATGGTGTATGTTTCAGCAAGAAATAATGACAATACTGAACCAATACTTAACCTCCTCTCTGTTAAATTAACTCATTTGGATAACTAGTTCATACATTTTAATTTTGAATATTTTTTATATTCATAGTTAATATAAATACATTTACATGAGAGAACAGATAATTTCTGGATTAAGAAAACAGAAATCAAAGAAACCTTGTTGGATATTGTTCTCAAAACTTCTTTAATTATTTCTTTTAATTATTTCTGTCATTGTGATATGTGGTATGACAACATATTTAATGGTGTTTTATTGTTTTAATGTATTTTCTATGGCATTGGTACAGTATGGATTTCAAGCTTATTAAGCAGAAGGAAAACAAAGTATATATTTTGTAACAATTTTAAAATTAATATATTGTTATTGATCCTGCCACAATTTTTCCAAAATTCAACCTATTTTGAGGTACAAACTGGACATAATTGGTGTTTGGGATATATGAAAATTTCAGATGATGCTGTCTTCTCAGTGTTATTAGTAAAACCACATTGGATCTGGCTTCTTCCAAATTTTGATGCACGTTTATTTACCTTGTAATCAACTATTGTAGTTTTGATAAGTAACTATGAGTTTAAAATAATCCTTAATGGAGGATTTGGGCTAGCAAATACCTTTTATATAAATAACAACTACTTCCATTTATACCTTTTATATAAATAATAACTACTTCCATTTACATAAATGCATATGGAGAGAACTTAGTTGTATGTCTTTTAAATGAAAACAATGAAGAATGATTTTACAGGACATAATAAACTTAGCTGTATTTAATATGAAATAACACATTGCAAAGTCACTTAATTACTGAGAATAGCTTGATAAGGAAGTCCTCCTCTGTACCCTCACTCAAATATCTGAATGTTTGCAAAGTTTATTGATATTTCCACAATAATTGCTAAAGTGTTCATTGGTCTCAGAATGAAATTTTGTCTTCTTTTTCATGTTCCACAAACTTGAAAACAATACTAAATAAAATCTTATTATGTTCTTTCAGAATGATAGGCAAGATTGTGCTCTCATTTGCAACACTATCATGGCAAATATATAAACTGAGTTTTTTCAGTGTTCATTTTTCCTAGTTCATATTACAGGAGAAAAAAAAAAACAAAAACACAATATGATCATTTACAGTTTTTCTTTTCCTACCACATTAAGTGGAAGCCTTAATGATCTGGTAACATCTGGAAGTCTCAGTTCGATAAAAAGCTGTTGCATTAGATCCCCTACAAGCATATAGTTGGAAAACGTCCAGCTATGAAAGAGCTTTCACTCTCAAAAATGCTTGAGGAAGAAAAAAATTATGATTCACTTTTCATAGGTACAGAAATGCATCACGGAAAGGTGATGTGACTTGCCCAGAGATATACACGAAACCTCTGGCAGAGCTTGGATTTACGCTTTCATCTCACTGCTCAGTGCCTTAATCAGAAAACTTTCATTCCACTTACAGTTTGAAAGTGACCTAGCTTTGCAGCAAAATATTTCTATTTTGGAGGAAATATATTGTTCAGCCCTTATGAGCCTTATGAGCCTTATGATCAGTTTGCACTTGTTTTCAGTCTCAAAATTTCCATAGATGAACTGGGCAGAATTTAAATTTGATGGTTAGTTCGTAGGATTCACAGTATACATTATTAGAGACTAAGATGCTTTAACAGGAGTGTGAATGTATTTGCAACTGCCATCATATATATTAGCTGCAGGCACAGTCTGAGATCTCTCAATCATTAAATTAGAAAAAGCGACTAAGATTAATTTTAAAAGCATTTCTTTGTTTATATTTACTTATATGTCTCTTACCCTGCACTCTTGGCAAGATATCCTGTTCTTTTGCAATTAATAAATTTCTATTCTACTGAATATAATGAATAGGGTTGGGTTCTTGTTACCGTATTTCCATTGATTACCTGCCATCACCATACAATGTGGTTTGATATCATACTGGGAGGTATTTTTCTGTGGTTGACATGCTAGCAGTAAGATTTGAAAGGGCAGATTTTTAAAACAGTAAGCAAAATGATTAACATGAGACTGAAGGGCAAAGTAATAAAACTTTAAAACCACTAACTAATCCTGGAGGCCATGTAAGAACATTGTAGTACAGGCACAGATGGTGTGCATACAGATGAGCTGGAAAACTTAAAAGAGAGAGGCAAAACTGTATGGCTAAATGGAGAATTATGTAACTTTTACTGGGGCAACAGATGCATTATTTTCTAAAGCAAAAGCCCACTGTAGACAGCAAAGAGTAACTCATACAGAAAACTATAGTAGGCTCACTACCAAAAGAAAATCAGGGGATTGAGGTTGTGGAAAGAACAAATAACAAAAGATAGAAAATAATGAAATGTCAAAGGGCGATTTGGAGACACAGAAAGGAGGTATGCACCCAGCTGGCACTTCTGGCAGTCTCCCTTTGAGATTTTAGGATCTCCATCAGTGGCTTTGCTTTTTAAGGAATCTATATTCACCTTGCAGAAACCTTGGCTGAATTCTGAGGTATTGCAGACACCAGCCTGTGACATCCTTTCTTATCTCTTGAAGCCACTGAGCTTACCTTCTGTCTTTGACTCTGAACTATTTATGCTGATCAAAGTAATGACACACATAGTAATCACTTTGGAGATAAATTTTGAAATCATTCATTCATTTTCTGCCCAACTGAAGAAAGAATTACTCCATTCATGTTATAATAGTAACAAAATATTTTTCCCACTTAATAGAAATTAGTGATATCCTCTCTTTATTTTAAGATGTTATCTCTTTGCACTTACAGGGATGAAGATACAGAATTTCTGTCATTGCTATGGAATAACTGTCACTGAACCTGAATCTTTATTCTAAATTTCATGGATACCTGCAAGCGTTGACGCTGTAAGTACTCACAGGTGACTATCAGAATGCAATTTATTCTGAACCCATGCTGCCAGAAAGTCCTGAGAGCAGAAATATGGAACCCTTTTCTAATTGAAAGGCCCAGGTCTGGATGAGAAGGCATTTCTGGGACTGTCAGCTGGACATGTGGGAAGCAGAGAAGCAGGAAATGTCAGGCGATAACAGAGACTGTTTTTTTTTTTTTTTTTTTTTTTTCCCCAGGCAGATCTTCTGAAGCACCTGAAAAACCTCTACTCATCACTTAAACTAAATATTTACTGACTCCGAAGAGAACCATCAGGAGATTCTAATTACAGCTTGGCTTGCTATTACTTAATCTAGCCTATCAATTGCAATGCTTCATAGCAATTTAAAAAAAATGGTTTTCCTTAGAAAATGAGAAAGGATTCTCTGTCCTTCCGTACAACTCTTTAGGTGCACTATGGCTTGTTTTGCAGCCATTTTTTGAGGCAACCTGTTCTGGTCACCAGCTGTGCTCAGATCCTCAATTTCAGTTCCCAGATTTCCTTCATTTTTCAGCTTGTTGTTAGTCTTCCCAAATTTAATCATTTCTTTTCTCCCTCTCTTTGCTATTCAGTGACTACATATGTGGAACTCTTTCTCCATCTTCAATTTAGAAAATATTAAGCATTAGCAATGTCATCCCTCTTGGTCTCAAGTTGACACATTTAGTACTCCTTGAGCCTTGGATATTTTCTGAGTTTCTCACCTCTGCATCTGAACTCAGCATGAAGTACCAAGCACAGTAGGAGAAGCAAAGAAAGGTAGAAATAATTCCATTTCATATTTGTCTAAGTATGATACTGAGGGTAAATGAGCTGTGTTCTTGCAGATGATGCACTTAGGATCTGCAACTGGATTGTTACCTTATAAAGATGACTCTTGTTTCATTATCCCTTAACTATGTATGGTTGAAAAATAATTGTTTAAATGTAAGTGTGTGATAAACATGTACTGCTTAAAAGATGCAAAAGCTTTAGAGATGTCATTGCTGTTTGTGTTAATGGATATGGTTTTGGTAGAATTTTATCCTTATGTGTGATTTCAAAGTTCACAGCACTTTAAAACGGATAAAGAATGTTACAGACATGGCTGAAATGTATTTACTATTCTGTGACAAACCCAAATCTCTGCTCTGAATTCAATGACTGTAATTTCTGCATTGTTACTATATTTTAGGCAGGAAGTATGAGATAGAATCATGGAATCATTAGGGTCTGAAGAAACCTCCAAGATCATCTGGTCCAACCATCCTCCTACTACCAAGATCACCCACTAAACCATGGCGGTCCCTAAGCACCACGTCCAGCCTTTCCTTGAACACCCCCAGGGACGGTGATGCCACCACTTCCCTGGGCAACTTGTTCCAATGCCTGACTACTCTTTCTGAAAAGAAATGTCTCCTAATTTCTAACCTAAACCTCTCCTGGTGCAGCTTGAGGCCATTTGCGTTAGTCCTATCGCTAGTTAACCTGTGAGAAGAGGCTGACCCCCATCTCTCCACACTATCCTTTCAGGTAGTTGTAAGGAGCAATAAGGTCTCCCTTGAGCCTCCTCTTCAGTGAGCAGAATACTCAGAGCTACTGAAAGTTGCTTTCATGTTGCTTTATGTTTTCCTTCACAATGCATTTCTATTTGTCTGACCAGTTTATGATCAATCGTGTTGATTCCTGAAGTGTTTTTAAGAAATCCTGGATCAAACTAATTCCTGTATGCATTGCAACATGAGAGCAGCCTTTGGTGGGCCCTGTCACCATCCTTGACTCAGCTCTGTTACTTACTGTGGTGCAAGACTACTTGCTTCAGCCGTGCTGTGCCCTCATTTTTTTGCAAATAGGAATCCAGAACTGATATTGATAGCTCTGAATTTCTCAAGATCATGAGGCCTCATTCACTGTGGAACAGGATAATATTCCGTGAGACTGTCTGATAGTTTTCATCTTAGCCTTCCTTTCACAATTGTTTCTTATGGTAACAGAATGACCTCGGCAGACTAACAATCATAAATACCACACAGAAATAAGAGAAAAGTGTTGAAGGCATAGATGCTGGTGGATATTTAAGGCAAAGAAACTACATTGTAGAGCGAATTTTGTTGCTGACTTCATCTGGTTCATTCTTTTCTTTTCCTACACAAATCTCTTTCCCAAGAGTAACTCAAAAACCATTTGCAGGCTTGACAAACCTCTCCTCTGGCAGCAGCATCTCATTCTCTGTCTTTAACTTTTTCCTGGGGGCCTTGTGATTGCTTTTGATCATACAACACACCCAGATAGTAGTCATAAAGGAAAGAGGAATAAAGGGCCCTTAGAAAGACAAAAACTTGCCAAAATAATTATTCTAGGTCTTCCCTACTTTGTGGCTCTGACTAGATACCGGGACAGAGGGAGGCTTGAAACACTTCATGTGAATTGCTCTGGTGGCTACAGTTCACTTTTGGTTGCTCTCTGCAGTAGTACACCTCAGATGTAGGCAGGGGTGAATACCAGGGTGAGTGGACTTTAACATGGTAGATCTGTAAATGTTATAAGCTTCCTGGGTTCAGAGTTCCCTGTATTTACATTATTAGTAATGTTCCCATTATTTAAATCTCCTTCAGATGAAAATTAAACACCACTTGCCTCTATCAGTCCTAAGAACTAACTCCTGTTTGAATCCCCACAACATCAGGTCCCAAAGACATAGCCTAATTTCAGCATTTCCTTAATATGTGAAAGGTCTGCTAACTACATCATATTGAACTTCTTAGCTGAAGAGGAAATGCACACTAAAATATTTATCTTCCTTAAAGTTATTGCTAAGTGCTTAACTGTTTTCTAAGCTTTTTTTTTTTTTTTTTTTTTTTGAAAAACTTCATTCCTACTAATTTGGGGTGTTTCACATTTATTGAATAGTGATGTAACCATCACTTGGCTTTCATAGATACTTGTTAATATAGATGCTACTCAGCGTACTTAAAGTAAGTCAGTGCAACAACAGTAAAAAGAGTATCTTGACAGCTTGTGTATTATGTATGCATTTTGTTATCTTACAGTTAGACATATAGTTTAATATGCCAAGATATTTATAGTGATCTCATATTCATGGTTTTCTTTTTAAAGAGAATCTAATGAGCCACATAATGATCATTCTAAAAACATAAAGTAGCTCAATAAAGGAGGTTTTCATGGCTAGACTATACAGGACTAATATGCAGGACTGTTTGTTGTTTTTCAAAAAATAAATAAGACTTAGATTTAAAAACATTCCTGGACCAGAAAAAAAGACACGAGGAAACATGTAGGTTCAAAAATGAAGTGTGCATACCTTTTGATTGTTTCAAATCATTTGTAAGCAAAAACTGAAAAAATAAATAATTAAAAAAAAAAAAAAACATTTGAAAATTCTAAATATTTGGCATTAGATAACTTATGTTCTGCTGAACATAAATACTGTTAACAGCTGGTTCATGCCAAGACTTCCTAAATTTTCAATTTTCTACATTTTCATTTCTTCCCCATCCAAACTTGATGAAATACACTGAATAGAGTTAATATTTCAAATATATATTTGCTTTGTTAATGTTTACATATCTATACATAAAGGTGTAAGTGTTGGAAACAATATGAGCAGTGGCACAAGGTGGTACACTTTGGAAAGCACTTCACTCTAATTTTATAGTCAGCATTAATGAATTGCTTACTGAATGTTCTAGTTGCCTAAATATTCTGCAGCTTTAGAACAAGAAGCCTGAGCCTCTTCAGTTCTTGTGTTCCTTTAAACAGTGTATCTCTACTTAAAACCTTCTAAGATTTAGAAAAAGTAGAATAACATTTTTGGTATAAAACATCTTGAAAAATATTGGTTTATTATAGCAATATTAGTAATTCCAATGCTAAAATGGATCTTTTTATCTCTACATAAAGAATTCATAGGTGAAAACAGTCTTTTCACTTATGTAGTACTTCTTAGTTCTGTCAATGAAAATTCAACTTGAACTTTCATGTTTTTACAAGGTACACATTTTATATTCAGACATTTGAATATATCTCTTCATCTTTTATCTGCATTGGTATTATCCTTATATTTGTTTTCAACATTTACCTGGCACTCCCTTTTTATTTTAAACATTGGGAGACTCAGAAGCAAGGTTTACTTCTATGCACTTAAGGACATTATTGTTAAACTCATTAATGCAATTCATAAGATCTTTAGCTTTTCAGCAAGAAACATTTTTTTTTAATTAGTTTTGAAGTATTCATGTAAGAGGAATTGATTTTATTTGAATGTTGTTTCAGAAATTCAAGCTCCATTTGGAAGTTATTAATCACAGTTTTATGAAATCTTTTATTATCCCTACTTATAAATCTTGTAATTAGAAAAAAATCAAACTCTCCTGCAACTTCACAAGCCAAAATATTATAATCTTCTGCCTTTGTGGTTATCATGAAAACTATCTTCAATCCATTTAAAAAAGATAAAGCCACAACAAGGCTGTTGAAAAAATCAAAAAAGCTTGGACACCTATCCCATGATGGAAAAACATCATTTAGGTTAAAATGTTTTTTGTCTCTTTGTCTCTGGGATGTATAGTAGTCCTTTTTTTTTTTTTTTTATTTTTATTTTTTAATATTCATTAAAACCATAGCAGTCCTCTGTTCTAGCACATACTTTTTATGAGCATGGAAATACTAGGTCAGCCCTGGCTGTTGGAGGACTGGATGAACAGACGGCACCAAACAGAAGCTGCAGGACCGTGTTTAGATCAGGTAATGGAGTTGTGGGGTTTGGGAAAGGAGTATAAGCTGACATGCTTCCTTACAACTGCTTGGATGGGAAAGACCCAGAAGCTGGCTCAAACCCATCCGGTCTATGTATATTGCTCAACCAACAGCTAGCAACCTCCCTGCAATGGTTTCATCAATGAGAGGTTAGAAACCCAGACCATAACTGACCTGTTTGTGTGGAAGGTTTGACATAACACAAGGATGGGCTTTATGAGGTTATGTCCTACCTTACTACAACTTTCAGACAGACCATATCTCTCTGTGCATCTTACAACAGCTGAAAGACATGTCCTAGGGCAAGATGGAAACTGGTATGGTATATTGGGTTACAGAGGTAATAGACTAGTATAATTTCTGTCAATGCTTCCACCTGGCAATAGTGACAGTCACAGTGACAGAGCCCACACTGTTATTTGAAATGGGCTATTGCATGTAAGGTTTTGTCAGCAGTCAACTCACCAGCTGCTGAGGCAGGTGCAGAGCAGCATTGTTGTCTGAGTGGGTGTATCAAGAAGACTCAAAAGTTGGAAGTTTTGTCAAATACATCTAAGAGGACATGGCCTTTCTCCTAAAGATGTGAATTCAGCCAGAAATTTTTGTTATGAAATAAACTACTCTATTGTGTACTGCAGAGCCTCCAGGCCAAGGAAATGGTGGGATATTTGTTAAAGGAAACAGTGAAGGTCTGCTATAACCCATACTCCTGTTTGTTTCTAAATGTGGGAAATGTAAGAGATTTTACAATTGCTATCTCCCCAGGTTTCTTTAGCATCATCATCTGTAACAGCAATTACCTTGACTGGGCTGAACTAGTTGTAGACAATGTAAGGAGAAAGTCTCAACAGGTGATAGCAGGTAGTAGTAGACTGTGCTTCTCAGTCACAGCACTGTGCTCCTCAAGCTTGTCAACAAGGTATTCACCGGTGGCTACATCTATACTGCCTCTGTGCACATACCTAATAGACAGCTTTGGCTCATGGAGCAGTGGAAATACTTTCCATTGTCTTATATTGTTGTAATTGTAAGTGAATTGGGAACAATCTGATGGCTCAGATCTCACCTAGATCCCTAGACAACCTTGTGCCTTGAGACTTTCAGGTCTGTTTTCACATTAAAAAAAAAATACTTTGAAAGTGTTGAAAGAAATCATTTATCAGAAATTTCTCTGGCTCATATTCAACAGCTTTGCAGGCCTGTGCTGTTCAGGAAGATCAACTGCAGTTGCACAAGAGGAACTATTCATAAAATTGAACAAACAAGCTTTGATCCCAATGACAGCTATTACTCAGGCTTTGAGTTTTGTTGACCCAATGTCAAACTGACACTAAATGAATTAAAAATAAGCCAGTCTGAGGTTCCTCAGAAAGTCAGTGGACTCAGAAGTATTTTTGGAAGGGAGATGAGAGAAATGCTGTAAATGGTAGTGACTGACGAGTCAGCTAGGGAATGGTAGGAATTCCATTGCTGATGCCTGATGCACACATGGTGTCATGAAGCTCAACCCTGACCAAATGCCAGTGA